GAGCTTCACAGAGGGCCCTTTGTGTTTCAAGATTTGTCAGTTACTGGGCCAGTTTCAGAGGACTCCTGCAGCAGAGCACATACTCCTTTCCCAAGGAACAGTTTGTTCACTACAGCGTGGCTCCTGGGTTCTTTTAAAATTTTCTTTAATAATTTATTGCAGCTTTTCCCTTGTTTCTTTAATGCAAAAGCTATTATCTTGTAGCAGGCACTGGTGAACAGCCTTTAAAAAAATCTGAATCTGTAGGGTTGACACTCTGTAACTTCATATCCCCCCATTGTTCTTAAATCCCCCCACTATCATTTTGTACTTGTTTTTATATGTAGTTTTACACACTAAAGTCTGGACATCTGTATACTCCTCCCTCAGTGTTCCACAGCAGTGTGTGCAGGGCGATGCATTCTACAGGGTAGGTGCACAGGCTGCAGCAGTGGCTCTCAACCTGTGGGTCTTGACCTCTTTGGGGTTTGAATATCCTGCACATCAGATACTTATGATTCACAACAGTGGCACAATTACAGTTATAAAGCAGCAATAACATATTTTTAAGGCTGGGGGCCACCACATCATGAGGAACTAAATAAAGAGTCATAGCATTAGGAAGGTTAAGAACTAGCTAGAGAGAGGGGGCCTAAGAGCTGGTTTGCTGCTTCCTGTATCTACCTCTCAGCTTTAGGGCAAGCTATCCCAACTTTTAACCTTCCAAATCCTGATGTGAGAAACAGGGTTTCACTGCTCCAAGTTCATTCTGGGAACTAAATAAAGTCCACATGGATTCTAGCACAGGTTGTTAACACGCCACTCACTGGCAGTGCTGTTAGAACCCTGGCGCTAAGGGTTCTTCTATTGTGTTCCACAAGCAGGGTGCTGATTGTTCTTGAGTCTGCCCTCCCTCAAGATGGCATCCAGGCTTCTATCACTGAGGATCCCAGGAGGGTTTGGGAAATGACCCAACTACCTTCTGCTTACACCGACTTTTCTTCCCATTCTCATGTTATTTGAGAACTCACCCAGTTGTCTTCTCTTCAAGTCCTAACTTCCAGTGACTGCGACACTGGCACCATGCTGAATATTCTCACTAGTCAGTGAGTGCACACACTGCAAAATGTCACTCTGTATATTTTCAAGATCTGAATCAGGCCACTGACACTGGGGTTTGGGACTGTACTTTTCTTTCAATGTCTAGTACTGTACATGGTGCCTGACCACTGCTGTCTTGCAGATGCCTGTGAACTGAATGGCTCATTGGTATGAGTTCAGAGCCCTGCAGACTTGGAACTGGATGCAATGTTCTCACTTCTTGGAACTGTGGCATCTCGGACTACACTTTCTGTATCTGGCCCATTTGGCATAGGATTCCTTCTTAAGGGCTATAAAGATGAAACAGCATGTGCAAAGGGTCCAGGCTAGTTAACCTATCTTATGTGAGTCATAAAAGAAGGGGTGGCTGGCCCTGGCCCTGGAATACCCGAACAGCTTCCACACAACAGAGACAGGATGCAGAGGACTATAATGGAGGCCTAAAGTATGCTTGGCAAGCAGCCCCCTCCCCCACACCCTGACACTTCAGACACCTCTCCTGAGTGATGCCCACTGGAGGCACTACTTTTATTTTATTGAGATGCTCTCACATAGCCCAGGCTGGCCTTGTACTTGTTACAAAGCTGAGGGTGACCTTGAATTTCTGATCTTTCTGTCTCCACCTCCCAAGTGATGGGATTGGAACCTCCTTGCAGTCTATGCAGTGCTGGGGATGGAACCCAGGGCTTTGCGCCTGCCAGGCAAGCATTCTGCCAAGTGAGATGATCCCCAGATGCATTACAGATATCTTGGTGACCATATTCTCTCCTTATTTGGTTTCAAGCTAAGGGAGACTTCTCCCAACTTTCTGAGTTCTCTTTTCTGTACGCTACCCAGCCTTGGAACATGGGCTTGTTAGGAAGTTCCTGACCCGTGGTGAAGCTCTGCACAGTCAGAAGTGTAGTCTTCCTGAAGACCTAGGCACATTCCCAAAATGGCCATTGTTAATCTCTGTCCCCTTCCTTGAGGCCAGCATGGCACTGCTTCCCTTGGTACCATTTCCAGTTATCCACAACCACCAAGTCTCTGCAGATGTGTTTCCTTTAACAACATGGAGAAACTAAGGTACAAAGGCTCACCTTTTAGTGTCCCTTCCAAATAAAATACATTGTCACTCCCTCTGGCAGTAGATGCTCCCAGTCAAGGGGGACCCTTCTACCCAGACCCATCACGGCCTTCCTCCTGGTGATGAGTATTCACTGCTACCCCCCCATTTTGGGGGGTTATTTCTATTTATTTATTCATCTACTTTATATCTTGACTGTAGCCTCCACCACCCAATCTCCTTCTCAGTTCTCCTTACCCCCCTATCTCATCCCCTCCTCTTCCTTCTCTATCCAGGAAAGGGCAGGTCTCCCATGAGTTATCAATAAAACACGGCATATCAAGTTGCAGTAAGACTAAGCACCTCCCCATCTATTAAGGCTAGGCAAGTTGACCCACCATGAGGAACAGGATCCCCAAAGTCAGCAAGGTAGTCCCATAAGAGGACCAAGCTATACAACTGTAATATATATGTATATGTATATGTATATGTATATATGTATATATGTATATGTATATGAGCCCAGGTTAGTTGATTGTGTGAGCCTTCCCAAGGTGTCCTTGACCCCTCTGGCTCCTGCACTCCTTTCTCCACCTCTACAGGATTCCCGATCTCCACCTAATGTTTGGCTGTGGGTCTCTGCATCTGCCTCCATCAGTTCACAGCTACTCTTCATGTACCCACCTATGCACTCATCACAGCCTGGGAGGTTAACATGTATCTCAAATATAGCATGCTCAAAACCAAACCTTTTCAGTTGCTCAGGTCTAAAACCCTGAGACATCTCCATTGTTTTTCTCTCTCACACTTAACATTCAATCATCCAGAAACCCTTGGTATGTTTCCCTCAATATATCACAGCTAGTTTCTACTGGTCTGAGGCACTGGATTAATATCTGCATTATTGTACTGGCTTTCCAAGTAATCAATCAACCCATACACATTCCCTTCCTTTGCACCTGTACTATATCTCTGGTTCCCATTCGAAAGTGCTTCGGTCTTGATTGCTCTCTGCTGGGGTTATATCTAGAAAAGTATGAGCTGCACTTCCAGTGCCTGGGTTTACAAGACACTCTCACCGTGTAGCTCTGGCTGGACAGGAACTTGCTTCTTGGCCTTGGGATCATGATCCTTCTGCCTCTTGGGTGTTGACATTATAAGTATGTCACTTTGCCTGTGCTTACACTGCTTTTCCACAGCTGGAGTGGTGTTGTTAAAATACCACTTCATGCCAGGCATGGTGGTGCAAACGCCTTTAATCCCAGCACTTGGGAGGCAGAGGCAGGTAGATCTCTGTGAGTGAGTTCAAGGTCAGCCTGTTCTACAGAGTGAGATCTAGGACAGCCAAGGGAACATAGTGAGACCCTGTCTCAAAAGAATCAAAACAAATCAATAGTTAGGCAGGTAAGTCCAAAGATAGAATGACAGACAGACAGATAATACCACCTCATGAAAACCCTCTGCTCATAACAGTCCACTCAGGTCCTGTCTCATTTGAGCAAAGTCACCTTCCAGAATTGACAAAGCTCTACATGGCATGGCAGCTGCTGCCTCTCAGGTGCCAGCTTTACCTTTAGTATGCCAGGGAAACCCTTGCTTGCTTGGGTCACTATTGGGGAGCAGGGCCATTATTTCTACACTGTATTGTTTCTGGAGATTTTTCTTTCTTCCTACATATTCCAGATGTTCTTCCTGAAGGTTCCACTTACCTACAGCCTCTGACTTTCATCCACTTAACCAGCCAGTGAACTGAAGTTCCTAAGGGTCCAGATGTTACTTTTCTCTCCTTCGTCGGTTGGGAGCTGCCTGCTATTGTTACTCACACCTTCCCTGAGTATGGGACTCTCCTGCTCTCCATCTGGACCTATTGCTCCCCATTGCTCCTCCAAGAACTCTTCAGCGCTGCTCCTGACATCCTTTCCCTCCCCTCGTTCTCCTTGGATGATTCCAGTCCCAGGCACCACACTGATGTCATCCCAATTGGGTAATCTGCAGCAGTCCTTCTGAGAGTTTCCTACCAATGCTGTCTTCTTTCTTTCTTTAGCTTCCTCCCCTCTCCTGGCACCTTCTCCCCACTCTTCCAGCTCCCACCCTCTAGCCAGCCAATTCATTCTCCAATTTTTAACACAACTATTACCTTTTTCTCATTTCTAGGCTAAGTTGAGTTCTTTCCTCTGCACTTCCTTGCTACCCGTGCTACAGTCTCTTCTGCTTGCCTAGAATCTTAGCTCCCTCCCACCCAGAAATTAACTACATGCAGCACTTAGGTCCTTTGAGTATGGTGCCTGGCATAGTAACAGGTATGATGATATGTCTGGATTTGATACATGAATACACAGCCTCTGTACAGAATGAATTTGTGACTGGGTTACATTTTAACACAGAACCAGACACTTGGTCTCTCTGGGAAATACTAATTCTCCCAGAGAAACTCAGGCTCAAGTGTAAGAGGCAAGGAAAAACCAAAAGCTGTATTTGACAATGGAAGTGGCATTGTGAATACTTCAATGTGAAGGCAATGAAAGATGAGGAGCCCTTTGGGATGTTAATGAAACAAGTGTCACTGGAGCAAGTGGCTTCCTTGCATCCTAGCACAGTGCCATCTTATCAGGAAGGGTTAGCAGGTTCCCTGCCTGATTACCAACGCCATTGAGACGACTGCCTAATAGTTACCTGTGACCTCCACCCCATTCAGCCAGCTCTCTCTTCTCCCTCCCCATCCTCTCTTTGTCCCCTCTTTCCACCCTGTACAATGCTGGGGATTGAACCCAGGGCTTTGTGTGTTTATTCCAGACATCTTCCACCAGCAAGCTGCATCCCCAGCCCCTTAAGTAGCACCGCTTGGCTTTCAGTCTTCCAAGAGTCAGGCACTTACCTGTAAAGTACATCCAAACACCCCAATCATCAGCATGGCCACTGAGAGGTAATCTGTGAACACATCCCACCACGGCTTCAGCACCCGGAAGGCGGGCTGCTGCTCGGTGAACTGCCGGAACTCTGTCACTGGAATCATGTTTCTGAGAAAGGAGAGGATGCTGGTGAGTTAACTTTTCTTTGGACATCACATAATGGCATTTTGTTGTTGTTGGTTAGCAACATCAAAAATACTTTTGTGAACCCGCAAGAGCAGGGTCTTCTGAAGCCAAAGGGATAGACACATGGTATTCCTGAGCTGGTGATGGACCACCAATGGAAGAAATGAAGAGAGCCCCATACAGCTGAGTTAGCGTCTGGTAACCAAGCTCCCTCTGTGTTCCTCGGGCTTAAACATACCCAGGGATTCCCTGTATTCTCACTTCCTCACACCCTCAAGTAGAGCATGAAGATGCCACAGAGATGGGGTCCATGCTCTGAAATGTCTTTGTTATTTCTTGTCTTCTTGGGCTGTGCTTTAGAGTCCCTGTCATTTCTGTATCCATTTGTTACTGCTTTATTGGGAATCTATTCATGGGTGCTACATTTACTCCAGAGGGAAGGAAAACCATGTGGCTACACGGCTGTCTTTAGTAGAACGGGGATGTGTGTCTTTTTCTCCTCATTTTTTGTCTAAATGCTTTTGTTTCAATTACTTTTCTGTTTCTTACACATCACATTCCACTGTGACTCTCAAACATATCCTGATTTTCTCTTCTGAGAAGTCAGTTTGCCCTGGAAACTTGCTACACTTTGGATGAGCCCTTCCTAGAGCCAAGGGTTAACACAGGTATGGCCACCACCCTGTGGTGCTTTTAGAAGGGGGAAGACCTTTAAGAGGTCAGGCACAGTAGAAGGAAATTAGGTCATTGTGAGAGCGTCCCTTGAAGGGACCCTGTGCTTGCTTCTCTCTCAGCTTCCCAGATGTCGCATGACCAGTAGGCCTGGCCTGCCATGATGTAACTCCATGTCAAAGACCCAAAAGCAATAGGCAAACAGACAATGGACTAAAGTGTTTAAGACCATGGACCAAAAGAAACCTTTGGTCTTTTACAGTCACTTTATCCCAGGTGTTTGTTACAGTGATACAAAAGGAACACAAAAATAGTGTCTCTACAAAAATAACTGTTCAGCATTAAATGGAACATTATATTGCACCGCTCCCCACAAAGCCTATGGAAGAGGGGGCAAGAAGAAGATGGTGAGTGCTATAAAGTACTGTTTTCTTGATAGGACACGACATTAGCAGCTATGAACACATATCCATCTGGATACCTGCACATGACCTGAAGAAGACTGGGCCCTACATGAACTGGGGCGGGGATTTGAGGCCCATGACTGCCCAAGAGCTATGAGAGTTAGTGGCTGCAGGAGGAAGCTAGAGTCCTCTGTAAGAACAGCACGTGCTCTCAAGTGCTGAGCCACCTCTCCAGCCCTCCCCCCAAATATTTTAAAAGCTACTGCTATGTAAACAACAGCGACTAAAAGCACACAGTGCACCTGAGGATCTGAGGAAGGGAAATGACCACGCCCTCTTAGTCTGCTCCTCACGTGCCCACTCTTACAACCTCCACTGTGACCCAGGACTCCTGTGAATTTGTTGGTGGCCATGGCTTTGCAAAGTTATCATAACTGTTCTTTCTGTCTTGCTGCTTTACAACTCTTTATTTAGTTTTAGGTTTTTTTTTTTTTTTTTTTTTTTGAGACAGGGTCTCTCTACATAGCCTTGGCTGTCCTGGAACTCACTATGTAGACCAGGCTGGCCTCAAACTCACAAGATATCTGATGGGGGGATATCCTTCTGTATATATGTTTCTCTTATTGGTTGATGAATAAAACACTACTCTTTGGTGAATAGAGGCAGGAAAATAGGCAGGGCAAGGAGACAAGGAGAATTCTCGGAAAGATAGGCAGAGGGAGCACACCAAAAGGAGTCACCATGTAAGGACTGGGTAGAAAGGACACACCAGGTGTTCTCTAGTAAGATAAGACCACATGGAAATAACTAAAATAAAAGTGGGTTAATAATTAAAACAGTGCTAGCCAATAAGAAGCCCAAGCCATTGACCAATAGTTTTATAATTAATACAGCATCCGTATATTTATTTGGGAGCTGAAGCAGCAGGACAAGAAAATACAGCAACAGAGATCCACCTGCCTCTGCCTCCTGAGTGCTGGGACTAAAGGTGTATACTACCATGCCCAGCTACAACTATTTCTTAAACAGTAATTTGGGTTTTACTCTTTGGGGTTTATTCTTTAATTATGTTGGGAAACTTCAGCCTGTCTCCTTGACATCTGAGTAGCACTGATGTGGTTTTTCCATCTTACTGAAACACAATTCCACGCTAACTCCATCAGCCACCAGCAGGCATGTGTGCCTGTCCTAGTTTTCTTTATATTGCTCTGTTAAACACTATGACCAAGGGCAACTTGGGGAGGCCATGTTTATTTGGCTCACATGTCCTGATCACAGCCTACCTTTGATGAAATGCCAAGGCAGAAACTCAAGCAGAGTAGGAGAATAGAGGCAAGAACTGAAGTAGGGCCCATGGATGAACCCTGCTTACGGGCTTGTTCTCCATGGCTTGCTTCTTTATACAACTGAGGACCACCAGCCCAAAGGTGACACTAACCCAAGTGGGCAACACCCCCCATTAACCATTACTCAAGAAAATGCCCCACAAACTCGCCCATATGGCAAGCTTGATGAAGGCAATTCCTCAAATGATGCTCCTTCTTCTTAGATGACTCTAGCTGGAATCAAGCTGACAAAAACTAACCAGCAGTGTCCTTAAAGTCCATTTCAGGCAAACCACTCAAACACACCCGATGGTTTCAATCAGTCCTAGACCACAGAGTTAGCTCAAGCCACTTGACCTTTTCCTCAGTGAACTCTCTCACTGTCCTCAATGTATTGAGGTCACTTGTTTGACATAGATAGGCTCTACATCAGCTGGATTTCCAAGTTCTTCCCCAGAGGTGGCATTCCTGGAAACCAATAAGCTCTGAGCAGTTGTTGGAGAAATAAAGGGATGGATTCAGATGCTCATTCACCTGGGGTTAGTGCTGACAACTCGGTGACAGTGGTGACTGCTGTACCCCACTGTTCTTTCCAGGGTTTGGTTGTTGTGTCTTTCACAAGTCCCTTTAACCTTTGAAAGAACTGGGATAATTCACTTAGTCAAGAGACAATTTCAGGAAGGAAAAATGCCACTGGGGAGCAGTGGGCTTGTGACCTTGTTCTCCCCTTCATGCTCAATATGTAACACAAATCCCAAAATGTTTGCTATGCGCTTGAATATTTAACATTAGAGATGAAAAACATGGATTTTTAAAAGACATGTATTCATTTATGAAAAAGAGTAAATGTATGGCATAAAAAGTATTGGTTACATGTTAATGAATGTTCCTCATGAAAGTCAGTCAACAAAATTATGCATTCAAAAATGAAAAAAAAATAGCTGGGCTTTGGTGGCGCACACCTTTAATCCCAGCACTCGGGAGGCAGAGGCAGGCGGATCTCTGTGAGTTCAAGGCCAGCCTGGTCTCCAGAGTGAGTGCCAGGATAGGCTCCAAAGCTACACAGAGAAATCCTGTCTCAAAAAACCAAAAAAAAAAAAAAGAAAGAAAAAGAAAAAGAAAGAAAGAAAGAAAAATCATTGCATGTTAACATATATTATTATGAAAACCCAAATGTTCTAAAACACAAAGGGATGGCATTATTTTACTTTTTCCAGCTGGATTCTCAGGTCTGGTTTTAAAGCCAGTATGTTGTGACATGCTGTTTGGGTTAAAATGCATGAGACTGAACACAGCCTCACAAAACTATGAGTTCAGAGATGCAAGAACTATGTGACTAGGCTTTCATGTAACTATGGATATTTATTTTTGAGACCTTGGCTAGTTAGTTACAGCATGAACAACAGGGGGGTAGGAATGAACCTCACTGTAAGGGCTTCTCTTGGCCCTCAAGTGTATCAAAGGCAATGGGTATCAGCTAACACATAGGGGCTAGAACCAAGCAGGTAGAAAGATTTAAGCTTGACTAGAGGTGGCTGCTGTCTCTATTGAGTATCCTTTGTAACTTTTTCTCCTGGAATAAAGTTCACCCAGCTGCAGGCCCTTTGTGGCCAATGCAGAGAGGCATCATTTGGCTACAGTTGCAGTGCAATGCCTCTTAAGGATGCATTCTGCCTTCCTGCCTGCAGATCACCAGGCATGATTGCCAGGTGGACAGCTGCCTTGACTACAGGCTGATGTAGCCAGGGAGGCAGACACCATTCCTCCCTCACTTTAGGCCAAATTGATCACCCAGAGCCAGCTCCACTGAATTCATAAGTGCTAGAGAAATGCAGAGGCTCCATGGATGCCCAGGATGAGGAAGTCAGCTATTGATAGGAACATATAGAATGTTTTCATGCTGTATTCAAACTTGCTAATGTTTCATGTTAGTATCTCCTTAGTTACAGACTTCTGAGACTAGCCAATGGTTGACTGGCACGAATGGCAACGGATTCTAAGTTTTTCATCAAGGTTGTCTTTACAACCACACTGTCTTCTATGGAATATTGTTCTGCCAATCTTTGGTTTCAGTACGGGGCTGGAGAGATAGGCTCGGCAGGTAAGAACATGGCTGCTCTTCCAGAGGATAGGTTTCCAGCACCCACATGGTAGCTCTCAACTGTCTGTAACTCCAGCTTTAAGGGATCTGATGCCCTCTGCTGCCTCCAAGGGCACACACGATGTGCACATACATACTTGCGGGCAAAAGGCCCATATCACACAATAAACAGGCCTAAGCAAGTTCCTTGAGGGACATGTGCATACCCACAGGAGCAAAGATGAGAAGTCAACTTACAAAGAGAACAAGGGCTAGATGTAACTGTGAAATTCCTGGGAACTTTATGTTTGGGTGAACACAGATGACACCAAGGAGATTGGAAGAATACAGTGATAGTCTGTCACCATCAAGATTGCAGAGTGAGCAAATGTATTCTCTGCGGAAAGGGATTCTCCCAGAAGCGATAGGGCTGCTGAGGATCCCAGTGCCCCTGGGTTATTTTCCTATGAGTGGTTGACCAATGATGCCCCAGAGACCCAC